TTGTTTCCATAGCGACCAGCAGAGAAGAAAAAGGCCTGAACTTTACAGAGATCCACCAAAATCAGAGGAATCTGAGCGTTTCTGATGATGGACTTACCTTCATACATGTCGTCTCCTTCTGACATGAGCTCATCATCGGAGCAAATATTTAACACATTCACCAGCATCTCAGTCACTGAAACACAGAGTTCAAACGTAAAGGATTAGCTTCTCAGCTGCAACTTTAAAACTACCACATGTTTATTAATAAATAGAGGCTTCATGTGGAATTTATTAAAACTGGAAAATACTGAATTTATGTCAATCTCCATTATAACAAGAAAAGGTGGTTTTGCTTGTTTTACATCCTTTCAATGAAACTTTATAAAACTCAAGATATTCTGCTGATTTCACATCCAAATTGAGATTTTTAACATTTTATTTTAAGCTGAACATACATTGAATTAGAAATGAGGGAATTAAATATAAATAAAATAAAAGCAATAACTGTAACTTTTCTTAGGCAGGCAGAACTGCAGCCTAGAAGTTACGCTGTAGCTACCAGATCGCTCGGGTCCTGCTTCCTGCCAGTGACGTTATGCTACATGATTGGCTGAACGTTGCCACATGATGTAAAACGTTGTGGTTGCCCAGACAACGATAACAACATCACGCAGCGTCAGTGAGCCGAATCAGGAGCATCTGTAATTTTAGCGCGTCGAAATACCGATGAAGTTTTACCTGAGTTTTACCTAACGTTAGCCCGTCCGCGGCGGCCAGGGCTAACGTTAGCCCGTCCGCGGCGGCCAGGGCTAACGTTAGCCCGTCCGCGGCGGCCAGGGCTAACGTAAGCCCGTTCGCGGCAGCCAGGGCTAATGTTAGCCCGTCTGCAGCGGCCAGGGCTATCGTAAGCCCGTCCGCGGCGGCAAGGGCTAACGTAAGCCCGTTCGCAGCAGCCAGGGCTAATGTTAGCCCGTCTGCAGCGGCTAGGGCTAACATTAGCCCGTCTGATGGAGATTTGATTGTTTTATTTGGCAAAATGTTCATTTAAATTGTGTTTATCTGACTGTGTTCATTGTTATTCCCCCACTAAATGAAATTGCAGCTCCAGACTGGCTTTGACTGTGGTGACGTCATCTGTACGCATCTGTTCCAATTTACCCAGGGTCATGCTGTGCGCCCGTTCTCCCAGAGAAACGGCCCTGGGCTCTATCTCAGTTGGAGCTACGCTGCCCCCTGCAGGAAATCCTCCCTATTGACTTTCACTGAGCTTTAAAAGCCATAACCTCGTCTGATAAGATTTTCTGTCGGATAAAAATCAGATTCGGTGTGTTCCGGCCTTAAGGAGGAGCCGCCATAACAGAGAACTGAACATAGAAGGAGATGTCTATGTCTCTGCTAGCCTGGGGAATCATCAGACGGTAAAATTAAAACGTCTCAATACAAACATCTCAATCATTTAGGTTTAAACATTTACAGTATAAGCTGTAAATCCACAACGACAAAGATCAACAGGCTTTTATTTTGAAAGGTGTGAAGCCGGCATCTGACAGGCCTCTCCTGTTCTTGACGTCTCGCTATTCATCGCTTCGTATCTCTGAACTTGGTTCAATGGAAACAGCAACAGATTTGTTTTTTCTTTCTCTCTCTAACAGCGAAAAATAAAAAAATCTTTAAAGTTTATGTTGCATTTTTTATTGCGCTTTCTTGGACTTCATATCCGAGCCAACGCTAAAGAACATTAATTTACCGTAATCTGCCATTATTCTACACATCAAACCGGTGGTGAAAACAAACTTGCCTTTTTCTCCAACAAAAGGCAAACTCCACGTGAAGACGTCCATGAAGTTGGGCAACCAGTAGGGGTGGGGGGAGCAGTTGAACTGTCGGATGTTCATCACATTGTTCTCGTACTTTAATACGGCAGCTAGGAGGAACCAAAAAGCAGAGGCGTCAAGGCCGCTGTTCTGTCAGGTGAGCATACCCACAGTCAATACCCATTTATCCCTTTAGGTTTGTACAAAAAACACACTATAAACTACCTCAACAGGTGTGTATCCCCTGGTCATGTACAAAAAAACTATTTAATTACCGACTTTTTGGTGTTTTTTGAAGCTTATGGTGATCTGACCTTAACCCTCTCAGGCTCAAATTAAGTTGTAGTTGCAGGAAAAATCTGCTATTTGGAGAAAATGATCATATGGGGTAGTAATATATACAATTCAGACTTTTTTTTGAGAGAGACCTTCACATGCAATGAATTCTGGGATGTTGCAGATTTGCAACAGTGGCCCGGAGTGGTAAATTAACACTGAAGACTGAATCTGATATGAACGTTAACTTTATTTGAATGTCACAAACAAAAAAGTAACAAAACAAAATTCGAAAAAAAAAATGTTCTCTCATAAAATTAGAGACAACTTTTTCTCCAGCGACAGAAGGCCGTTTCTGTTAAACGGTTGCTCAAAATATAGGCAAACTAGTTGAAAAAGCATGTAGCATCCATTGGTACCTGTTTGGGCACACGTTGCGAATCCACAACATTCAAATCGAAATGCCTCTAGTGAAAAACCCAGAGGAGATAAAATCTACTAATTGGCATGTGTCATATCTATAAACATCATGATTCATCTTATGTAGTATTGATTTCAAAATAATGGAAGTTGGTAGTGATACTAACATGAAACTGGTGCTTAGAAAATCTGTTTCAGTGACATCAAGGAATTAGCCTTGTTGAAAGTGAGTCAGCAGGGCGATATGATGAGCTGGAGAGAATCTGCTTGTTGCAAATGCACAACTAAGTCCTTCTGTTGTACTTCTGAGTAACAAAAGCTCTTAAAATATGGATGTGGAGTAATTAGCTAAGTAGCATTTAGCTGTTGCAAATCTGCAACATTTGCCTGGAGAAACTGTTTTTTTGTACATGACCAAGGGGATACAAGCCCGTCGAGGTAATTCAAAGTCTATGTTTCGTAGATAAACGCCAATCTGACGTCTTGCGCATGCGTATTAACTATATGTATGCTGATCTGACAGAACACCGGAAACAGAAACGTACGGATAATAATGACAAGAAAGAAAGTTAGAAACCTTTGTTGTTGTAGACATCCAAATAATTTGGAGCTGAAAAGATGGTGATTAACGATGGGAAGCCGGTGGTTTGGCTTTTTCTGTACATCCGGTACCTGGAAGTTAAAGACAATCACGACACTCTAAAAAGGCTTTTATCTCTTGAATGCAAACTCAGTAAATGTTCCTGCAGTTAAGAGTTAAAATGTCTGGAGTCTTTCAAGGGAACAAGTTGCTTCGAAGCTCATTTAGGAGTATAAATAATTATGAAAACTGTCTACTGTGTGCTGTTTTATCAGGTTAAAGCTTAGGGTACAGAGAGGGGCGGGGCTTTAATGGTGGGAACGCTTTGAAAGGTAGAGAGAAACACTCACCCTGCATCCTGTGCTTCATGGGCTCTTATTACTGACAGCAAGTTATTATTTACTAAAAAGTCACAGACTGCTGCATAACTGCAAAGGAAGGAAAGAGGAAAACATTGTTAAACCATCAAAAAGGTTTAAGTTGATTTCAAATTCAAATGCATGAAAGGAAACAACCTAAAACTGCTTCAGACTAATTCCTGACTGGTTTCAGGAAATGTTTTCATATTTACATCTAAAACGAAGCATAAACTCAAGCCTCACAAGTTTAACGTAAAGAACCAAGTTGCTCTAAATCAGAAAAAACGAAATTTAAATTCATGCAGGTGATATTTTGAACTAGATTTACTTTTTTTATATAATTGTTGTGAGGTCTTTTTGTATAAAGTAGGGCATCAATTCATAAGAATGTTCTTTTGAATTCTAGAAATCAGTTTTTTTCACTGGTAAGGAATCTGGTTGTTATTAAAAAGTGTAAAGATTAACCGTTTTATGAATTACAACAAAAAGACTAAAACCTTTTTAAGCTTTAGTCGACTAAAATGGACTGAAACTATTGTATAATAATGACTAAACGTGACTAAAACTGATAATAGATTTCATCCTGAAGACAAACTAATTTTAAAACTAAGATGGCTGTAAAAA